GACAAATAAAATTTGAATTTGAGGGAGAATGCCTGATGAGCACTGAGTGAAAGTGCACAAAGTGGAGGCTGATTGGCTTGAAGATGGTGGGCCGAAAGATGATTGGTCCAGACCAGTGATGTCAGCAATGAGCTTGATAGCTTGGGAAAGTGGAAGTAATGAAAAGCACTGTCTAGCCTCCAAATATTCGGGTAGTACACAGATGTGTGATTACACATCTTCCTTATTGAACTTACACATAAGGTTCATTTCAAAGATGTAACACACCCACCTACCACTAGTAAGGGGTGTAAAGTAAGGCAGATGACTGCAGTAGTTTGACCAAAAAAATGAGTAAATTGGCACGTAGCAACTCGACAGGAGCAGTGTGTAACCACATTTGTTTGGATACAGTTTCCACTCCTTTTTGATTGTTCTCAATTTGAGTGTATTTTTTCTTTCATGTTTAATTGACTAGTAAATTAGTCAACAGGGAACCCCTGATGAGGTGTGAATTACGTTATGCCTCAGTTGGCTTGGAGGTGACGACCCGATCTTCTTAGACCTCACCATGCTCTTTTACCTTCTTTACCTTTAGCTCAGATTGCATATTAGTTTGGAAAAAAAAACAACAACAACTCAGTTTTATGTTGCAGCTTATGAGACATGTCATAAAAATTATCTATAATTTGGATTTAACTGTTAAAATGTCATTATCTTAATATAAAGTTAAGATGCAACTAAGGTAATTCTTTTCCTTTTTTTCCCATTTTTGCGGGGAAAACGCTTTTGCTCTGCACTCTCGCTCTCTTCGTTTCATAGATATCTGTCATGCGCACAGGAGAAGGTAGAAATCAAAGCTGGGGGAAAAAAAAAAGTCCTCACTTCATCAAATCTTGAAGGCTGTAGGTTGACTACACACCCGCACTATGCTTCTTGTGCATGAATGTATGTGGTTGCCTCTATGTGTGTTCCTCCTTACGCAGGCACTGGCCCTGCTCTGCCTTTGCACTGCTTCAATAATGAAGGAGCTGTAAAGGTCTGGCAGTAAGCCCTTTGCTGAGTTCTCTTCCACCTCATCCCTCCCATCCTCCCTCCCTCTCCTTCTGTCTCTGTCTGGCTCCCTCTCTCTCTC